CTATGCCCGATGGCCTGTAACATTTCTGCTTTTTGGAAGTTACTGAGGTTTTCCTTATGGGCCCAAAGAAGTTAAAAGTTTCCAACCATTATATTTGAAAATGATGCATATTCTATAATAAGAGAAAATTTTCAGTATCTGTGGAATCTGGCATATTAATACTAACATTCAAATGCTCTATATCTTTCTATAGCTGCATCTATGTATTTTAAATAGATACAGCTTATCTATTTTTTATTGTTGATGTTCTAAGTTATCTTTAAATTCTTTCACCAAGGTTGAAATTTTTCACGGTACATTTCTAAGACTTCTTTGTGTGTGTGCGCGTTGTGTGATTGTGATCTGTAAGCAATCACACATGTTGATAGCGTTCAGTGTGGAATTGGATCCATTGCAGACAGCTGACGCAATCATCTACTTTGGTGCTACTCACACACCTGATTTTTGGGTTTATCTTTGGGGGTTTTGGGTGATTCTTTTATCTCTAACTCTTCTGTGTCTGTTTCAAGTGTCAAGTTTGTAAATAGTTTGCAGTTAGATTTTCTTTCTTGCTTCATTTTCACATTCTCTTATAGTAGTTTTATCATTTAATTTTTGAGATACAATTTACATACAATAAAACGAAAAGATTAACATTTATTTTGAATGAGTATAGTCAGTCTTCTTTCAGATAAACATTTCCTGGATATTTCCTCCTTTTCTTTTCTCTCACTTTTCATGTACTTTGATGTTTTCTTCCTTTAGTGATTTGGAAAGTGTGCATACATTTAAAAAAATCTATTCCAATCTTTTAAAGCAATGGCTAGGACAAACGATTACGTATTGGCACGCCTCCTCCTCCCAAATAGAAACACTTTGGCTTCTTTCCCACGCTTCCTTAATTTTTATTTAATTAATTTGGAACTTTAGATCCAGATTATCACTATAAAAATTTACATATGCTTCTTATTTTTCAACAAAAATATTTTTACACGTTACCTTAATATATATCACTCAGTCTTCACTAGTCTGCCATCTCCAGCGGCAGATGCTTCCTGATTTACATTGTCTTCCATGAGCATTATGCCCACCCAGGCGCTGTACAACTGGAATCATACTTTTTAAAAAAAAAAAAATATTTATTTACGCATACAAGAGCTGGGGTGTAGGCCAGAGGTGTGAGGGGGGAATGAGAGGATTCACCAGAGACAGAGTGGGGATCAGAACAGGAAGACTGACTGGAATACACTGCTGAGGGGAGCAGCAGGTGAGACAGGAGAGGTCTGCTGTGCCTTATGGGTCAGATCCCTGGACAGCCGGGGATCGAACTCCTGTTGCAATGGCTGGCGAAAGCTCTTGGTAGCGCTGTCTTTAACCCCTGCACCACCAGGGAGGACCCTGGAATCATACTTTAAATATTCCTTTCATCTTCTTTTTTTTTTTTAGAAAAGCCTTGTTTATTTTTTCACAATATAGGCTTTCTCCCCTCATGTGCGGTCACAATGAGATGCCATCTCACACCTGTGAGAATGACCAACATCAAAAAAATCCCACAGGAGAGTGCAAACTGGTCCAACCACTATGGAGAGCTGTGTGGAGATTCCTCAATCTGCTAAAGATGGAGCCTCCATATGATCCAACAATTCCACTCCTAGGTATTTACCGAAAGGACACAGAAACATCAATTCAAAAGAGCACCTGCAACCCTATGTTTATAGCAGCACTATTTATAATAGCTAAGCTTTGGAAACAACTCAAATGCCCAAAAATAGATGACTGGATCAAGAAGATGTGGTCCATAAACAGAATGGAATATTACTCAGCAATCAAAAAAATAAACTAAAAAAAAAAAGATAAACTCATGCAATTTGCAGCAACATGGATGGAGCTGGAAGGGATCATGCTCAGAGAAACAGAAAGAAAAAGAAAAATACCGGATGGTCTCACTCATAGCAGGAATTTAGAAAACCTAAATAAGGGACCAGGAAAAAGACTAATGATAATAGAGTAAAAATCAAAATCAACAAGCAACTATAAACCAGAGACACACTACGGGGTGGGGTGGGGGGCTGAGAAGGGGGTAGGATCAAAACAAGGGTGGTGGGAATTGTATGGGGACTATAACCAAGATGAAAATGCATATATTGTGCAAAAATGAAAAATGATATAAAAATATATAAAATAAAAAATAAAATAAATTAAAAAAAATTTTAAAAATCCTACACAAGCTGCTGCGGGTGTGCAGCAAAAGGAGGCCTATTCCACTGTGGTGGTTTGTAGACAGGCCCAGCCCTGTGGAAAGCAGTGTGGGGATTCTTCAAAAGAGTAAATGGATCTGCCCTATGACCCAACAATTCTGTCCTCTGTCTTCTTTCATTCAATGGTTCTTCACATGCACTGCTGGTGGGGCAACTCCCAGTAGCTTATTTATTTTTTTTTTACTGTTGAGTAATATTTCACAGCATAAAGATATCAGATATTGTTTTCTCAGGCTCCTATCTGTGCATATTTGGGCTATTTCAATTTGGAGTTATTGTGACTAAGGTTACTATAAATGTTCTTATAAAAGTCTTTTTGTGTGAATGCCTAGGGGAAGAATTGCTGGCTCATGGAGTAGATGTATGTCTTACTTTATAAGAAACTGTTGAGTAATTTTACAAAGTGGCCAAGTATTTTATTTCAAGCATTGCAGTTGCTCATCTTCACTTTCAGTTGATGTTTTGTAGAAACCTACTCAGGCATAGAACTACTCGGTTGTTGGAAAAGACATGATGTATTTTTTTCTTTGTTTTTCAAGCAAAAATGCATCATGACTTTTCCAAAGGCCCAATACATCAAGTTGCTAATTACTGTGTGGTCTAACTTTCTCTCCAGCTTTTTCTTTTTAGCCAGTTAATGCATTTACATTTAATTTTTCTCCTATAGGTAGCATATATTTTGGTCTTCATTTTGCATCCAGTCTATCTCTGCCTTTTAAATGAAGTGATTTCTATTTGATGTAGGTTTCAGCCTCCTGTCTTTATAGTCAACTTTGTCATAACTGTTTTTATTCCTCATGTTCCTTTCCTGTCCTCTACTTTAAAATTTTTATTATACATTTTCTATTGCCTTTAGTTTATATTGTGGTCTTTTTCTGATGGTTACTCTGGCTGTACCAATACGCATCCTTAACTTATTCATGTTCTTCCTTGAAATAACACAATTATTGTTTATTACTTTAAAAACCTTTATAATTTGATATTAATGTCATATATGTCACAATGTCAAAAATATGCTGTTTCTTTCATCTGAAAACCACTGCCAAATTCCATTAGTCGCAAGTGCACACACCCATGTGCCAGAGGTGCCAAGAACAGACACCTGGCCATGCTGCGCACAACTGTTGATCTCTTGGAGATAGGTAGTGGTTTGGGGTGCCAGCACTGAGCACAAAGGGTACAAAGTCTGTCTCCTCAATCAGGGTTGAGTGCACAGCTTTGAGATAGCAATAAAATTCACAAATAACCTTCAACAGGTCAAACACAACTGTCTATATTATGGTGACCAGTCACGATCCCACTGAGTATTTTCCTAGAACATAAGCGCAGGATTGAGGTCACCTAGCCTGTATACCCTAGTCAATAAACAAGTCTTGGGATGGCAGCTGCTGTCTGGGAGGCGCCTCTCAGTTGTCCTAGATAACCTTGCTTTCTGCGAGCTCACGATGTCTGGCAGAGAGCAGTGGCGTCTCCCATAGCACACTCAGACCTTGCTCTGTCACTCCAGATGGAGGAATTCTTCCTGGAGGATGTCCCATCCTCTTAGAAATCAACTGTCACCCCTGGAACTTGTACCCAGGAGTGATGTGAATGCATTTCCTGACACACATGCTCTTTTTTCCCTACACGCCCATCCTGTCCACTTCCACTCCTTTTGGCCACCTTGGCAACCACTTTCTCTGTTCTACACAACAGCTCACCATCTGACATCCCTTGTCTAGAACTTCATGGTGCCTACAGCTCCCCACACATACCTTACTGCCGCTCATCTCTGAATCTTTGCTTCTGCTCCTCTCTTTCCTAGGAATCTCTTTCTGCTCCCCACACTTTGCTCCAGCTCTTCCTTCCACTGGCTAAGCATCATCAATAAGACTGAACCCAACATGGAGGAAGACTTCTAAGAGGAAATAATACCTAAATGAAGTTTAGGTTTTATCTATTATTTAATACCTAAATAACACCTAAATCTGAGTTCCCACGACACCAGTACAGATGCCCCTCACTTTGGACTTCATCGACCACAGACTAAGATACTCCACAGACCCCAACAAACACATTTTGGTTGCCACCATGTCTAAACATAGCAACTAGTTCAGAATCAATGGCTCATAAGTAGACTCAATTTCAAGACAATCTCATCCCTTTCCTGCCCTCTATTCTCATAATAAGGTTGGGTGCCTCTTCCTCAGGGCAACCACTTCTTGTCCAGAAGTCCTGAGCAGAGAAGCTGAGGGCACAGCAGCTCCTGACACTGAACACCTGTTACACTTGTTCTTTATTCTGGGAGAAGCAAGGTTGTGGCTCTGAATCTTTGCTTGAAAGCAGTGATTTGAGGCTCACTTAAAATCAGTGATACTAGTGAAAAATTTATTCTATTAATCCTGGGCCAATCAGATATATCTAATACTCCATTGTAGAACAGGCAAAGATGCACTAGAAGACTTAGAAGTTATGAAAAATCTGTATGAAGGCACTTTTAACTGAGGCATTTCTGTGTAATTTCTAATCAATTTTTGTTTTTTCAAATTGGGAAAAACAAGATATTCACCAATGTCTGCTAGCGCTTGTCTTGATTTGCATTTGAGAACTTTGGCTCTGTCCCAATAAAATCACAGTTACTACACCTCTCAGCGATAAGTTGCCGTTTTACATGGAAATGAACAAACATTGCATTCTGATGACTGGGGCTTGCTTTCAGAAATAGGCTCATCCCCCTACCTTGGTTCTGAAGAAAGTAACCATGACCATCTCTTTCCTTCTTAGGCTGTGAGGTTGAGATTCTTGGTGTCAGACCTACTTACTGCCTAGAATATAAAAATGTCCCAACGGATATCAATTTTGCCAATGCAGTCAGCGACGCTCTTGACTCATTCAAGTAAGTGTCCCAAATTCTCAGCCACACCATTGCTCTCCCTTGTTTCTGGAACCAATGATGATTGCTAACGTGAACCAAGAAGGCTTGGTATGGGCGCAGTGATGTCTGAGGTGGGAGCCTCTCACCTGGTGATTGTTAGCTATGAGAGAATAATTGTGAGCAGATCTCAGGCAGGAGCGCTCTTGGAAATGCTGAATTGAGAGCAAGAACATCCTCAAGGACTTGGAAATTTCTTTTTTTAAATTGATGGACAAAAAGAAACAATATAAATGTTGACCTTTTTCTAATCATGATTTACTGAATGCTTGTACCTGGGGAGAGAGTAATAAGTATTTGGCAAAAAAATACTCTCCCCAAAGGAAAGATCTGTGGTGGAAAATTGCCTACTCATCCCTCTTCTTGGAACTGTGCAAAGGCTATTAGCATAGTACAACACAGAATCTATTTTGCTTCCTACCACCTGGATACATGACACAGAGCTTGAAAAGCGCAGAGGTAGGCGATGGAGTCCTGAACAGCACCTGACTCTGTTAGGGAAACCGCGCAACGAGAGGTCAGGACAGAGCCTCGGGTCAGTCTCAGCAGAAGCGGAAATCCAAGGGGAGACGGGGCGGGGGGCTGGGGTGGGGAGCAGGGCATGGTCTGTGCTAGGAATTAGCAACCATGAGGGTGAGGATGTTGGGGGTTTCGCCAGGGCTGGACTGGAGGTCACCTTGGCTGCTGAGTGGGTCTCCTGGGTAGAGTCGGGCAGATGACACACCAGAAGCAGCGAGGCCCAGGGAGTGTCTGCATCCTCCTGATGGAGGTTTGAAGTGGGACAGAACCCGAGAGCCAGCTTGCCCAGGCCTGGTGCTGTTACTACCACTAACCACAGAGACTGACCACTTACGAACCCCACCCCAAGCATCATGGGTGCAGCCATCACCCCCACAGAGCTGCAAAATTGGCCAACACTCCTGTCTTTGCTGATTCTTAGAATGCTCCCGCTTCCATGAGAACCCACCAAGGAGGGCCTTCAGGACACACGTAGGTTCAGGTTCTGGTGAACAGATTGGAGAGAAAATAGGTCTAAACACCTAAAAACGGAGAAGTAACAGATTTTTCAGTTTAGATTATTTTTCTGGGGAGGGAGGAGGCTAGGTCAGGGTCTGGAGGAAGGAAACTTGATATAAATATTCTTTAACGCATGGTTTGTAAATCATGTGTGAGGCGGGCCCCTGCCTCCTGCTTCCTTTTCATGCCTGTAAATGCTAGAAAGTCACACACACGACGCATTAGGATATTGTGTTCCAGCCTCGCGTGCGCGAGTGAAGCAGAATGGCACGGGGCACGCAGCGGATGTGCTAGGCTGGAGCTCGGGTGTAGCTCCATGCCCATGCAAGGCTGTTGCCAACACACCAACGCAAGCCACCCCTCCAGGCGTGGCCATCGCTCTGTGGGCATTCGGAACACAGCCGTCACACAAATACCGACGCCCCAGGGTGTAATCAGTTCCACATTCATCTTACCTGGACAGGTGAGCGGTTTCTCGCTGTCTCCCACCGGCAAGTCACAGGTACAGGAGCCTGGAACACTAGGCCGCAAGAATCCCAGGTCAGCGCTGGCCCCTCTCAAAGAGGAGGAAGCCCCTTCTTCAACCAACCTATGCCCACCCCCACACACGCCCAGCCCTCTAGAGCTGGAGTCAAGGAGAGGATGAGGGTGGCTTCTCTGCAACTCTCTCCACCTGGGCCTGGGGCTCGCCAGGCTGAGGTGGAATGGCAACTCCTGTGGCTCAGCAGCATGGAGCCCACACTCCACGTGAGGGGACCCCTCCTGCTACATCCCACTCACCTGCCAAAGAAGTCAGCTTGTGTTCTGTTTGTAGGATAATCACACCTCAGCGGGCAGGAAAGGTGTCTGGCATGAGAGCCAAAAGAACTTGGGTAACTCACCTGGGGAACAGGGGTGCAGCTCGCAGCCACAGTGGGCAGAGGGAGCCCGCTCAGTGTGCAGGCCAGCTGGCGCAGCCGCATACAGGGCTTGGCCTGGAACCACTGGGCTGCAGGAAAGACGGACAGGGCTGCTGTCCTGTGTCCTGCTGTCCTGTGTCCTGCTGCGGGCGTGCTGGGCGACGGCTGCCTGCCATGCGTGTGGTCCTTTACTGTGACACGGGTGTTGAGAAAAGAAAAAAGCTTTCACGCAAATTAAAGGAGGCAGCACAAAACCTCCAATGTGTCTCCCTGGTTAAGAAAGGGAATAAGGCTATGTAGGCTTGGGACCCTGGGGTTAAGAACAAAGGAATTTAATTTCATTGGCTAACAAGTGGGGGGCTGAGGGCAAGGAAATGTGGACTTGGCTGGTTACGGGCCGTTCATACATGGGGAGGCATGAAGAGACGTGTGAATTTCTCTTCATGTAGCCCCTTCCCTGTGCACTGGCGTCTCCCAACCCAGTCAGCCTGGGACTCAGCTCAGGATGAGTTGCTTCTGCTTAGGCCGCACCATTGCTAAGCCCGTGGGCTCTGTGTTTGTGAAAGCACACACAAAACTTTAGGTGTTTTTGTTTTTTTTTCCTTTTGTGCTCTAGGGTCTGAGAACAATTTAGTCATTGAACTTTGGTTGCAAGGCTCAGAAAACAGCTCCCAAGGAATTCTTTCAAGATCCAGAACCTCAGCGCTGCTGGGGCTAATCAAGGCCTAGATGGGTTATGTCCCTTCCACAGGCCACGAGACAGCGGGCCCACGTGCGGGGCACTGTCCCTCCTCCCTGGGGACTCAGAGAAAGAAGGAGCAAGAATGCAGGCTGGCACAGATGGGTTCTCCTCTCTGCTTGGCACAGAGGGAAGAGACTTTTGGGACGTCTGGAAGTAAATGGGAAATGGAAAATGTTTCTTTCCCTTCGCTTCCCATTCACTGTGCACCAAGCACTTTACAAACATCGGTTTGCTCGGGGCAGGTGTGGTGCTTCAGGCAGAGAAACTGGGCCTTAGAGATATTTCTGCTGTTCATTCCAGACACTCAGGTTAGTAAGAAGAGAAGCCAGAACTGGAACCCAGATTTGTCTAATTTCCATGCCCTGTCAAAGAATGCTGCTAAAATAAAACTTTGTCATGTGCACATTATGGATATATTTGAGGATTGTGCCAAAGTCCAAATTAATTTATTACCGAGGGACTCAGGAGAGGATAAGGCAGGCTCAAAAAAATATATAAGAAATCTCTAGAAGGATGGTGAGTGATTGGATATGATTAGTGTTTGATGACGAAAAGCTTGGTGATTTAGAAGATAATCAAACCATAACCTCTGCAACTGCTCTCTCCAGCAGACAAAAATCATTTTCATCTGATCAGTTTCCTACACATTAACAGTTACCCTTACAGAGTTTGGGCTTTAATCAATAGTTCAATCTGGTGACAACAGCAGGCGTAGTCAACGTTGCTCGACGCGACAGTGGAAAAAGAGGCAATTATTTTTTGGTCTTATTTCTAAGTGTTGTGTCATTTTTCTTAACAATTAACAATTTCAACCACCCTTTAAATGACCTCCATCTCTCCCTAATTCTTCTCTAAGAATCCTAGGGTGATTCGGGTTACCTAAGGGTAACTGGGTGTCCCCAAATCCCTCAGCTGGGGGCCCCTTGCACTCTCACTCAACTGCGTGAATGGCCACAGGACCTTCTGGCTTGATTCCTGCGCCTTAAAGCTATAAATGACCAATAACAGCTGCAGGCATTTCCACCATCGCTCCTCGCTCAACCACTCCATTATAAATGAGCTGCCTTGTGAGGGAGACCAGACCCATGTGGAAAACAGCTGGCCACGAAGAAGTTGTCAGCTAAACTCCAAACAGGCAAGAGCTCTCAGCCCTTGAAGACACAAGTCCCTAAAGAATCCCTGAAATGCCGGCATAGAAACCTTTCACAAAACGCACGTGCATAAATCCCTGAATTGCAAACACCCCGAATCTACTGTTCCTGGTGTTTGGGTTGACAGCTTCCTGACACAAAGCCATCAGGTCCATCTGTGGTGCTTAACTGGCATCTGACCACAGGGCACCGTGCCTTGCCAATATGGCGAGCAGCCTAATGAAGCCAGGCTAGTGTCTGCTGCGTTCAGGTGAGGCGTCTACGATGTAGGACCTCAACCTCGACGTCATGGGAAACCTTGTTTGTGGATTTTTCCCCACGTACAAACCCCACCCTGGAAGTGCACACATGTCACATATTGTGTGAATTAGCACAATATGAAGCTAATCTGAGTTTTGTGAAGGCTGTTTACCATAGTGGTACACCTTGTTCTACCGGGTTTCCTGGGGGTGGAGGATCCTTCAAAGAACCACTGCAGCAAGAGCAGGTGGGCTGAGAATGCCATTCCGGGGACTTGGCCCATGAGCTCTCTCGGAGGTTCGGGGTCGTGCTCAGGACGTTGGAGGCGCCAACCTGGGTTTGGGTCTCGGCTCCGCCTCCCACTTGCTGAGTGATGCCAGCAGCTGCATCAGCTGCCTGCTCAGCTCCTGTGCTCCTGCCAAACAGGGCTGCTGTGAGGGTTAAATAAGATAATATAGGAGAAGCCCTCAGCGTGGTGCCTGACGCAGGGTAACTATTGTTGACTGAGCACTTGCTAATAGTCCCCAGTGTGCGGCAGGCACAGAGCGCCTCACCAAAGCCTGCGCTCCAGCTGAGAGCCAGGGGAGGGCGAACCCCCCGAGGGTCAAGTGATCTTACAAGGCAGAGCCGGAGGACATCGAAATGGACAGTACAGTACAGGGCGAGAAATCCTATCCCAGAAATGAATCTGGCGTGCTGTGGGCCAGGAGGGCCACCCGCTGAGCCTCAGGGCACGAGCACCACCACATCATCATCATCATGATGTTTGTTCTGTCTGGGTGTCTTGCAGGGAGGTCATAGGCAAAGCTAGAGCGGAAGAGGGGGGTTGGGGTGGACGCACCCAGGGAAGGCGGGGAGATTATTGCAGTAACATCCTCGCTCCCTGCCTCCATAAGCCTCTTTCTCCAAGTGATGCCACTAGTTCCGGTCACTCTCAGCCCAGAATCCAGGGTTAAATAAGTGGGTTTTTACCATCATCACTCTGGCCAAGAGCGGGAGATTTGCCAGAACAGGGGTCTTCCTGGGGTCCACAGAAGTGCAGTCACCACTGGACTTCACACCCTGGAGCAGACCCCGTGTGTCCCCCTAGAACAAGGTCCCAGGAGTGTCAGCAGGTATCACGCCAGGTTGTCCACAGAGTGAAGCTCGTACTTATTCTCGCCAGGCAGTTCAACACCCAGCCTAGTGCTTTATTTAGAGACTTGCCAAAATCAAGTAGCGTGAGTCCAACAGCCCTGGTGTAAGGGACCGCATCTTGCTTTTCTAATCTCCAACGGCCGCGGGCGGTGAGGGCAGCGCTACGAGAACTGGCGCCTGCTCGTCAGCACACCTGCCAGCTCCCTGGCCAGGGCGAACAGAGCTGTGGCGTGAGGCGAGGAAGGGACACATCGCACGCTCTCCGCCGCGTCGCGTCCAGCCTTGGTGCACTTTACCTTCTCTCCCTTGAAGATGTGCCTTATTTCATTTAGGGCGTCAGCTTGGCTCGGGGGTGCTGATGCCTTCCCCGAGGACTGGCTGAGAGGGGAGCGCGCTGGGGAGGGCAGGGACTGTGTCAACCCTGCCTCTCTCCCTTGCCCGCCCCAGGAGTGGCCGGGCTGACCTGGCAGCCATCTACCACGAGCGCATCGACGTGGAAGGTCATCACTATGGCCCTTCGTCACCCCAGAGGAAAGACGCTCTGAAGGCTGTGGACACCGTCCTGAAGTACATGACCGCGTGGATCCGGGTGAGCTAAGCACGCATCTAAAACGTGTTCACCATCTTCCCTGCCACTCTCTGCTTCTTGCCTGTCACCCCTTCCACGGCTTCCTTCCTGCTGTTGATAGTGACCAGGCCAGTGGAAGGCTTTGGGGTCTATTTTCTTCAGGAACCAAAAGACCCTTTTTTTTTCCACATCCAGGCCGGTGGGGTTGACATGACGGAGGTCTGTATCGTTAAGCCTGAATTTTCTGCAAAGAGGGCTCCATCCTTTACCAAACGTGCTAATTCTGTAAGCAGCTTGGCCCAGGAGCCAGACTGAGGTTTGGTCCCTGAGCCTGCCACACTTTAATGACATTAGGGAAAGATCTTATGCAAGTTCTTCCTACTTTAAATTTTCCAGTGCTTTATTTTTCACATCTGGTAAGCGTATGAGTGATCACTGCCACGTTACCACACAAGTGTGTCTCAAACTTGAAGACAGAGAGGGAACCGTCCTAGCTGTGAGCCCGTAGGTATGATTTCCAGCACAACTGGCGCAGGAGTCTTCTCTCCTCCCTGCTCCTCCACCCCAAGTGTTGCTGTGGTGCTCCTGAGCTGTGGTGCTCCTGAGCTGTGTCTCATCAGGGCAGAACGGCAGGCGACTCCATTCAGAGTGGAGACCGCATTCTGCCTCCCAGAGCTCGCAGCCTGTCACCCCTCTCCAAGACTCCTGGTGCAAGCGCGTCTCTATGTTGGCACCATTTTGACTTCTGTCTGCCCACAGGAGCGTGAGCTGCAGGACGACCTCAATGTCATCATCTTCTCAGACCATGGAATGACTGACATTTTCTGGATGGACAAAGTAATTGAGCTGAACAAGTACATCAGCCTGAGTGACCTGCAGCAAGTGAAGGACCGAGGCCCAGTTGTGAGCCTGTGGCCTGCACCCGGGAAACACTCTGAGGCAAGAGGCGCCATGATGGGATTGAAGGGTGGCTGGAAGGGCGCGGGGCAGGCGGGGTTCTCCGTCCGTCCACATTCACCCCCACTTTGTGCTTTAGCTTGTTCTGGAACTTGAATACTGACATTCAGAGCTCCAAGTCCAGAGGCAGTGGACTCGTCTGCCCTCAGCCATGTGGTTCATCCTCTGGTGGGCATTGAAAATGGGCGGTCATTGGATTTTAGTGGAATTTAAATGAGGTCAAAGATATGCAGGATTTAGCATGTTATACGTTTCATCCTTAATAGGTTTTTTAGATTTTTTAAAAAGATTTATTTATGCATACAAGAGCTGGGGTACAGGCCAGAGGTGCAGGGGGTGAGAGGATTCACCAGAGACAGAGTGGGGAGCCAAACAGGAAGACTGACTGAAATACACTGCTAAGGGGAGCAGTGGGCAAGTCAGAAGAGTTCTGCTGTGCCATGTGGGTAGCTCCCTGGCCGAGGATTGAGCTCTTGCTGCAGAGGCTGCGGACAGCTTCATAGGTTTGATCTTAACCCCTTGCGCCACCAGGGAGGCCCTGTTTGTTTGGTTTTTTTAATTATTGACCAAAATGCAGCACTTCTAGGGCAATCTGGGAATACTGGATGCTCACCTGCAATGCTCTTTCTTTCTGTTCCCTTTTACTGAGGTAACATTCCTTTACAACACTGGGTAGGTTTCAGGTGTCAGCTTCTCTCTCAGCAGCTGTGTAGATCACACCAGGCCACCACCAGCTCCTGGCCACCGTCCATCACCACCACACGCCCCCATCTTTTCCTCCCCCCAAAAGCTGCCAGCCTGATCCAGTTTCATCAGAGAACTGAAGCCAGAGTGAACGGGCGAGCACAGACTGAGGCCCTGTGCGTAGTGACTGAAGTCCTTATCTCAGGAGCCGCACGCTTGGGTTCCAATCCCAGCTCTGGAAGGGATGATGTGAACGAAGCCAGAAGGAGAGAGAGAAATCCTGGATTTATCACTTATATGTGGAATATAGTGACAATATCACACATACGTGTCACTTATATGTGGAATATGGAGAAACCAGACAAAGGGTCAAACAAAGACAGACTTTAAAACCAACCCTTGAAAAGAGACTGTGGGTGCTTGGGTGCTGGGGGCACTACAGTGACCACCCCTAAGGCGAGAAATCCTTTGCTGTCAAGATATTCACAAGAATGTGAAACAATGGAACTTCATTAATAACAAACAAATCCCAGCTCCCTCATCATGTAGTAACCAGGTAGCCCCGTCCCCTGGCCCTACTGCTCCTTCTCTGCCCTTGCTGGCGGAGATGCCATCATACGCAGCCCCCTGGGCTGCTGCCAGGCACGTGGAAGCTGCTGGTCTCACTGCCAGCGCAATGTACCTGTCTGCTGTGTGCTGATCACCATGGAAGGGCGCTGTCCCAAGAGGGTGATGTGGGGTCCCCACTCGGCTCCCACAGCCACTGCCCTGCAGAAACTCAGTACCCTGAGTTGACAAGAAATTACAGGTACCTGTTATAAGAAATCATCTGTGGAGGTGCCAACCCCAAGCGCGGTGGGAATAGGCCTCCTCCACCCACCCTCCTTATTGGTGTGTATGGAGCACCAGCAGGCCAGGGTGAGCAAGAGAGATGAAAAGGGCGAGACCTTTGGCCCAGAGAGAGCGAGACCTTCCTCTCCACCCGGCCCTCTCTCATTTATGCATCTAAGATCTCTCTGTCCTGGGTTGACCATGGCCAACACGCTGCACCTGCCCAGCCTTACCCCATCCGCAGCTTGGAGGCCCCCTTTTTCCTCAGGCCCCACGGTCAGGAAATGGAGGTGCTGAACGTGTTTTCACAGCGTCCCCATGGACTCCCTAAATATGGATCAGGGAGAATACTTCACATATTGGCAGGTCCTTCCGTAAGTGCCTTCTTGCAAAGCAGCGCTGTTTTCCTGGCAAGCAAGAGCGTCATGTCTCCAGCTTGGCTCTTAGGGACACGCTGTCTCCAGAATGCGGAGGAGTTGAGAGATCCTCCAACACGATGTTTAAGTCAGGCGCTTGCAAGCTGCCTCGAGCAGTTGGCAGATTAGTCCAACGTGGGGGCTGTGTTTGGGTGACACTTTGTCATGTGACGGACACAAGGATGTGTGAGTCCTGTTCTGTGCCACCAGATTCTTCACTTACTCAAAATCTGCAAATGCACCAGCTTTCCTCGGGAACTATGGATTTTCTTAAATGGGCGACCAAACTCACGCACCTTCTGAAACCTCCACCAAATAGCTTAAATGCTAATTATTTTTCAGTGTCGCACCGATAAGCTCAATTTTTATATTCCATTCTACCTAGGAAAATAAGCCTGATTTGGCTAACGACCAACAAGTCAACATTAGCCAGTTGGTTTTCATTTTAGCCATAAGCATGTAAGCTGCTGCTAAATATTGGAAATATGTACAAAGTTTACATCCTCAGCAAGAAATTAGCAGTGTAATTAATGCAAACAGTTACAAGTACATTTAAGATTCAAGCGTAGGTGGATGTGCTCTGGGTCAAGTCAAAGAACAATTTTCTTTCTTTGAACCTGGTGGTAATGAACATTAGGCAGATTGACTCATTTGCCTGTTAATTTTATCCTATTATGTTTGACATAAATACATCTTTATATCTTGTTCTTTAATGATTGAGTAGATACCAAAAGTCTATTTTTTAAAGATTTATTTATTTATTTATACAAACACTGGGTACAGTCAGAAGCGCGGAAGGGTGAGAGGGTTCACCAGAGCCAGAGCAGGGAGCAGAACAGGCAGACTGACGAAGTACAATGCTGAGGGGAGCAGCGGGCGCAGCAGGAGAGGTCTGTCATGCCATGTAGGACCCTCGCCGGTGGCCGGCTATAGAACCGGCGCTACAGAGGCTGCGGGCAGCTTTGTATCCCAGCGCTCAACCACTGCGCCACCAGGAGAGGCCCGATACCAAAAATTTATTATGAAATCTGTATAAGGTGTAAAGTGTAGTGTTACAAGGGATACCTTATATTCACTGAAAGTTTAAGAATAGGACATCACTCCACCTGTGGTATCTCCTGTGTCCATACCAGATGGACACCATACCAGATGCCCCCACCTGGAAACTTCCCTCTCAGAGGTAACCACTGCCCTAAATTTTGAGTTTTTATTTTGGTAATTCTCTTATAGTTTGACCATATACATTCCTTAGTTTTGTTTTCATTAGCACTTTATGTAATGAGAATATTATTGTTTGTATTCCACTACGACATGCATTTTAAAAAGAAATCTGAGAGCCCAGGGATTCTTCCAGGTATTCCTTCGAACTACAATTTATCTCTCTTCTCTGCTACATAGTGTTCCACCTAGAAGCCCATTGTGATTCATTTTTCTATCCACTGTTACTGGGGAGGTGGGCTGCTCTAGTGCACAGTGTCTTTCCAGCCATGTGTCTACAGAGGTACATGTACGAGGGGTTCACTATGTTTCCAGGGTTAACTGGTGAGGTCACAGGGTATGTGGAGCTTCAGCCCTACTAGGTAAAGCCCAATGTTCTCTGAGACATACAGAGACATTCAACTACATGTTATTTTCATGTAGTTAAATCTATCAGGGGGTTTGGTAATTTCTTTCTTTGATCTTATAAAGTCTAATAAATATTCACATGTACTTAAGAAAAACACATCCCTGTTTTCTTTTTTGGAATTGAAATGACATTGCATTATAACATATGGGAGGTTCAGGTGCTCAGGCTTGATATTTTTGGTTTTCTTTGCAGATCTATAGCAAACTGAGTTCAGTGGAACACATGACTGTCTACGAGAAAGACACCATACCAAGCAGGTTCTATTACAAGAAAGGCAAATTTGTCTCTCCTCTGACCTTAGTAGCAGATGAAGGATGGTTCATAACTGAGGTAATTATCAAATATATGACAATTCATTCATGATGCAAATTCTGTCAAACAGTCTAAAGAGAAGTAATAGTTAGTATTGATTTACCCTGAAAAGATTTTGTTTTCACGTAAACATCATTCATTTCATGATTTCCTTCTGAGAGAATGAAAAGTCTCGGTCAGGTGACTTTCTAGACACAAACTATAGACCAGCATCTCTGTTAGACTTCAGGGCTCCAGACTTGCTGTATTTTAACAAACGGCCTTAACTCAATTACTCAGGCTTACAATGTAACCTATTCAGTTTAAAGTGGAACAATTACTGTGAACCCAAGCAATTGCTTTAGGGCAATGAAAAGCAAGGGGAGGCTCAGTTTTGCTTTCACCTTTAAGAGAAATGTTTGGCAAACAAAACTCCATAGATCCAGGTCCCTGGCTTGCCAACCTGATTTTACAGAGCAAATTATTTTGTATTTTGGGTCCAAACCCTAATTGCCTCATGCCTGAGTGCCTGCAGCAGCCTCCTCCTGGCCTGCCTCCTCCCAGTTCACCAGGCTCTCTACCAGCTCCTGGTGGTGAGCCAGCCGGTGTGAGAAGACCCCCGCCACACAGGGAAATCTGTTACATGCTGTTTGCATTCGGTTCCTGGAGAGGGCATGGGTTACTGCAGATATGAGCTTGAAGGTAGGCTGCACATAGATCGGGTGAAAGATGGCAGGTGTTGGCACATGAGAGTCGTTGGTGGAAACCAACAAAGCATAAGATCTAAAGCAGTATCCAACCTGCCAGACCTCAGGGTCACAATAAGGCTGCTGCGACCCCAGGCATCACATCCCCTCATGTCATCCCAGAGCAGGAAGGAAGGACGTGGCTGCTTCTTGGAGAGCCCCTACTTTTATTAGGGAGCAAAATAGGTATCCCAGAATCAGAGGGGGGAATGTTTTGTGGGATTCTGATGATTATAAAATTTAGAGAAGGAGCTCTTTCTTTAAGAAAATAATACGTCATTATGATTTATAAATATATAAAATTAGGTGCAGGGACTTGGAAGAAATCCCTGTAAGTGAGAAGCCCTTAAAACAGTTTAAGCTTCTTTAACTGCGCCGTGATCCACGTCTGTCCAGAATGCACTGGCACACACCCTCTTCGGTCTCCTCAGTCAGCTCCTCAGTCAGTGTGGTTGGTGGATTCCCGCCTAGGACCCACTTCAGACCTGAAACCAGCCTAAATGCCAGCCAGGGGGCCTCAGTCAAGACAAAAGCTGGGAATTAGGCAGACAAGGTGCCTGCCACTTAGAACATGAGAGAAAAGGCAGAAAGAGGAAAGCAAAGACCACCACCAACTCCAGCATCCCGACTGGCCGACGCCAGTGACCAGGCTGGTTGGGCCTCCACTAGCCCCAGCTCTGCCTCCTTAGCAGCCTCCCCCAACCGCCCAGCATCTACCTCCTCCTCTGCTGAGGGGCCTAGTCCCACCTCCCCTGCAGGAAACTGGCAGGTTCCAGGGTGTTCCGAAGGGGAAGCCATATGTTAATTCCCACTATGTGGAATACGATGTGGTGTCTGAGATACAGTGTCTATTCTAAATTATATTATGTCACATCATATCATATTACATTATAGCGTGTGATTTTTCGTGTATCACACACGTATTTAATCTGTGTTGGAGTAAATCAGAACTAAGTCAATTAGCAAAGGCTCCCCGGTATGTCTTTGCCTGGCTTAAGAAGGAGGGAGAAGCCGCAGAACGACAAGGAAGAATATAACTATGGACAGTTACTTGAACAGCATTTTCAAAATATGCTATTCTTTCAAAAAGGAGATTTGAAGTCATTTTAAGAACTCTTGAAGCGGAGAACTTTTTTTAAAAAAGAAAGAAATCAGAGGATATAAATAAGGTGTCGAAAATTTAGTTAGTTCTGAAAGATGAGTGTGAACTCTCTGAGCAGAGAGACAGCCAGCGTGCACAGCTCTGAGTAGTCGCAACGGGCGCTGTAAGCTCATCTCCATTTATCCCGCCTGGATCAGTGGACAATTTAGAGTGATTCCTCTCCCAAAATCGCAGTGATGTGAACATAACGTTATTTTACCTCTTGCTGATAATAATTCTATCAAGACAAATATCTTAAACTTTTGGGCGACCCTAGTAACAACAGCGATCTTTATTAAGTCCCCCCACCCCATTACTCTTGATTCCTCAGGGCCCCCATGGTGCAGATATCAGTAGTCCTGAGAAAAACATCCTGCAGCATCAAAGGGAACACAGAGTTGGTTCTGAGCTTCCTAGTGGCCAAGACAAAGGGGAAAGTATGATCATGCATTGTGGATGGCATTACCCCCATTCTGGCTGCCCACTGTTAAATGCCTTCCTGAAGGTTCCAAAGCAATGACACAGCTAGAATTGGAACCTAAGGTGGCCAGGAAGCCCCCAGAGGTCCAGTTCCACAAAGAACCTCCAGGTCTTCCACCACAAGGTCCCATACATCTCTGGTTTCATGTTTGAGACTCACACTACTGATTCCTGAGGGGCCCAGAGACAAGTCCCACCTCCTGCCCACGAGCAGAAACAGGCTCTTACGTGACAGCCATGAATGTTCTTCTTGCTCTAGTGGCCAGCCGCTCACTTTGCTGCCCTTGCTCTTCTGAACCTCCAGCCCTCCCTTTTCCTTCTGTCAACATGAGTGATTTGCACATACATGAGCCAAAATTATCACAATTGTGAAAATGAATGTTCCAAGGTGAGCGTGAAGTGCTGGGACTTAAGTGGGTGGGAAGGAGTAACTGCTGTCCCTACAAGCTCCACGTTCTCCTGCCCCCACAGGGTCTGGAACTCAGTGGGCTGCAAACACCAGAGAACCCAATAAAGAGCAGTATCCCCAGAATACAGTCTCCTCCACAAGCCCCACCTGTCATTTACACCCAACTCAAATGCCATCTTGTCCTTGAAACACCCAACTCCCAACTGCCGCCATCTTCGAATCCTCATAAAAACCTGAATCATTTCCTTGCTGCCATATTTGTTTGTCTGCTTTTGTGCTTTCTCTGCCTGGAGTACAAGCTCCTTGAGGGCAGGTCTGTGGCATCTTGACCTTTGTTTTCCTCCGTGAAACCTGGTCCATGGCAGCTCCAGTGGAATTGTCCAGGCCTGAGAAATTGAGGTCCACGATTGGATATCGCTTGGTTCCCATTTGTGACTGAATGAATTCATAAATAGAGAGTTGATTCTTGGTTACTTATCACAGGTTGATCACTCTGTAGGCTTGTAAAATAGTGAGTATATTGACTGAAAGGTATGTTAATCAGGCATTTGGCTGAAGTTTAGTAGCCCCAGAAGAGTTTTCATGGAGTAAAGGAGTTGAAGCCATGCAAGGCAGTCTCCTGCTTGACCTCCCCACAGTGGAGTCCAGAGTGGACACAGTCCGGGTCCTCTCCTGGACCATGTGCACCGCCTGCCACCATGCTCCAGCGGGGGGAAAGTCATGCCCTGGCGAGGGACAGTGAATCAGTGTTTCCTGGTTGATCTTCCAAACTCCTATCTGAGTTCAGAGAAATGCAGCAGATTTACATGCAAGCTTCTAAGGGAGGCCTACATTTTCCTCAGTTGAAAAGACCTATTTAGAAAACCAGCAAAGGCCATGAAATGCCAGGCTCCATTCTAAGGCCTGTGGTTGAATGGCACTTAGGCCACCCAGAGCCTAAATATTTGGGGAAATCAAGACAATCTGGAAAACATGGCTGAGCTGTCGTGGCTGCTCCAGAGCCACTGGCCAGCTTCAGAAAGTGGGATGTTGCGTGCTGGAGGCAGCCTGCTCTCCGGCGGTAATTAGGGCCACTTGCGTGGCTGTCAGCAAGCACAACCTTAGCCACCTCACCCCTGGCAAACCAGAAAATGCAAATCTGGAAAAGGAAAATAAGGAAACCCCATTCATGGAGGGCGCTCCTCCAGCACACCTCCACACCAAAGCATCTCTCTGGCATTTTCCTTTTCAAGGGTCAGACCGTGTGGCCAGGGGCTTCCCAGGGTCAGACCAGGACCTGCGGCCTGAGCAATTAAATCCTGTTGGAGAACGAGGCGGCCTTCTAAGAGAGAGAGGCCAGGAGCCCGCGTCTCTCTGCAGTGGCTGGTGGCGAACACACATCTGAGGTTCACAACCACCACCCCCAGGGCTCCCAGGACACATGCCAGCAGAAAGGCTCCTTGGAGGAGAATTTGGAGGAGCATTGCCACAAAATCTGAGGAGCCATGATCCTCAGTAATAGGAGCCACAGCTCAACCCGCCTTAACTCTAGCAGCCAAACCACCAGCGCCAGCCGCACTGTTGTCACCTCCGCAGTTTTAATTGAAGCCACCCCAGCCTCAGACATGACTGGGTGCCTTCTCCAGCCTGAGATGATGTCAGAAGTTTATTGGCTTTTCGGGGGGCCCACGGAGGTCCGTCACAGCCATGCCCTCGGAGGATAAAGTAGAGGCCTGCTTTAGTAGGCCCCTCGCACCCCTTGGCAATGGCTCACGTATTTTTTCTTTATTTATGTGTGTATTTTCTGCAAGTATTGTTCTGTTGATTTTAAGGACACACTTACATTTCTCTCCAACATGAATCACCCCCAAATGAATGTTGATGACAGAATTATATATGAACTGAGTGGAGAAATGATGCACATAATGTTGGCTACCAGGAGTCGTTTGGTTGCACTAGCGGCTCTCAGTGAAGGTGAAACGAGCAGACAGCAGCTCACAGAGCCTGCGCTTCGTCTGTGTCCCCTCGCCCTGGGAGCTGGCGTGACGCCTCCCCGAGAGAAGGAGGGGGGACACTGGCCCAGAAGGATTATGCACACAGTGGTTGAAGGGAGGGTTATGGGCCAAAGAGAGGATCTTCCTCTTCGGGGAGGATCACGTCGGTAGGAAGGAAGACAGTGACAGCCACTGGGAAATAGAAGGGCCAGGAGACCGTGCGCCATTTTAAGTCCCATGGGTTGTGCATCCACACCGTGACCCGCTCCAGCACAGACACACACAACAGCTGGCGCTGCACACAAGCAGCCTGTTCATTCCCCCTTTTTCAAATGCACCAGAACAGTTGTTTCGCTGGAGCCACTGTCCTTTTCATAAAAGCCGGTGGGTTTACCTGCCATCAGACGGCCCCAGCTAGCTCCAGGGCCCGCTGGCTGTCAGCCGTGAGCCTCCCTCGCCTTTCACCTGTCCCTGTGTCATGGGACACGTGTTCTCAGGTTTGTAAAGTCTTCATAACAAGATGTTCTACCTGGCGCTTCAGGAATCGCTGGCTTGTAGACGGCACGAGGGGAAGCAACACATTCAAGTAGCTGATGCAGCTATATTGGGATGTGTCGTGGCCGTCACCAGAGGCGGATACAGAGCAAAGAAGGATAACACGTTACAGATGCAAACAGCTCTATGGAAAAATACAAGTTATGGATGGAGAGGGGTTGAGGGGTGATGGGAGTCCAGGAAACTGGGGGAGGGGGATGCAGCACCTTCTGGAAGCAGCAGTGTCAGGGAGCACTGGGGTGGGGTGTGATCGGGGTGCAAGGTGCAGTGGCAGTCAAGGGAGCACAGGAGACTCCCTGTGACCATGTCTGCTGGCTGGGGCACCCTGGACATCGGGGGGAGTGGACCCAGCCATGTGTTGAGCAGCCCTTGTGTGTCAGCCCTGGGCACACAGTCCTGCATCCCCCAAGAACTCCGAGAGGCAGGAATTAAGTAGCTCAAAGCGGTTAGGAAACTTGCCAGGGACCATGCAACTCAAAAGTAGCCAACTGGGGCAGAGCCCATCTCCAAATCAACACCTCAATCTCTTTATGGTGTGACTCGCCAGCACTTGGTGATAAGGTGATGACCTTGCTGTCCAGGCTCAGCAGGAGCATAGCCGTGACCTCTGGCTGTGTATTGGCCAAAGACACACAAGGAAAGGGAGACAGGACAGACCCCCGGGGTATCCAGCCCGGCCTTGCCTCCAAGACCTGTGTGACTTTATGAGTCTCACTTAACCTCTGGGCCTTCGCTCCTGGCAACAAAGTGGGTGAATACTGTGCTCCTTGCTGGCAGGCTGTGCCGTTGAGTGGACGGCGTGTGGCTCTTGGTGACTGTGGCCCCACTGGGCTGGGGGACACGAAGGACTCTGAGCCTTGATGTCACACACATTGCGGGGCTTAGATATCTCCACTCACCAGTCACCACCTCCTGCACTGAAACATGCATCCCGTTAAGCCCCGCAGAGCCAGAAACACCCAGAATGAACGGCTAGTCTGCAGGGAAGGACCGGGGCTGAGTCCAGCTGGCGGCAGCCGCCTCAGGACTCACACAGCTGTCTTGGGCCTTTGTCTTGCAAGTGGGTCTTGAAATCTGAAAGAATTCGCTCCACTCCTAAGGAAAGAAGTGATAGGTCTGGAATGGAGACCAAAGGAAATGCAGAGTGAGCAGCCCCGCTAAGAACACGGACGCCATCGTCAAGTGTTTGACTAAGTGGAGGAGAGGGACTGAGTGTTTATGGAGCTGCTCCCAAGGGTGGGGCGGGAGGGCGCCCTTGTAGAAAATGGGGACTCGGTTAGAGCTGCTTCCAGCAGCGCTTGGGGGTGACCACCAACGCAGTTCTCTGACTTCCTGCCCCCCCCCGGGCTCACCCCACACGCGGCAGACTCGGCGGTCCCACGAGGTTGCCCCCTTCACGCCTCAGCCACAAATTCGGGCCCTCTGGCTACCAGCGCTGTGTTCGACTTGGCTACAAATTTGAGGCTCCTCATGACTTCCCCATCAGGTTTGGGAATTCCCTGGCGGGGTCACAGAGCAGCAAAGCACCCCTGACAGGAGTCTGCTGAGAAGGCTCTGGAAGAGGCCCGAGGAGGGACGCGGGGCAGAGCGAGCACAGAGGGTCGCAGAGCTTCCTGGCTCTCGTGGGGAGCAGCCCCTCCCCACACATCACCCTGGAGGGGAGGGGTGTTGTTTCAGAGTTTTATACGGCCTCGTGGTGCAGGCAGGAGTGAGGAACTCGCTGGCCATGTGGCCGAGTCCCCTGTCTGGTGCCCCCCAGGCCATCAGAGGGCGAGGCTGAATGTTCCAACCCCCTCAGCATGAGCTTGCTCCCTGGGGTGAGTCCCCATGCCCCATCCTGAAGCTCTCTAGTCACCCCAGCCCCTAGGAGTCATCTCATTAGCATAAACTCAGATTTGGGGAACAGGGGCTGCTTGGGAATAACCAAGACATGCCTGCCAGGTGTCGGGAGTCCTGCGCCCGGAGCCAGGAGCAAAGGCCAAGTCTAATTTTTATTATACCACAGACGCCTTTACCATCCTTGTCCCTCGCCTGCTGTATTCAGCGGCTGTGGAATGGATGGAGCCACAGTTCCGCTCGCGTGGGAAACAGCCATGTAGTGGGCTGCCCCAAAGGTCTGGGCTACCTCGAGTTGGAAGCCATCCGGCCGTGGCTGGTGACGGGGTCGGGGGTGCCGAGAAGGAAGCCCTCGCCTGGGTGCGCGCGCTCTCGGCACGACGGCCCTGCTCAGCGTAACGTCGTTGTCCTGCTGGTTTTCAGACGCGAGAGACGCTGCCGTTCTGGATGAACAGCACGGGCAAGCGGGAAGGCTGGCAGCACGGCTGGCACGGCTATGACAACGAGCTCATGGACATGCGGGGCATCTTCCTGGCCTTCGGACCCGGTAGGCAAGGAGCGGCCAAGGCGCCGCCGTCGTCCATCCCCAGGGCCGCGGGTCCAATAGGGCCGAGGGGCCAGCGCGGCTGCCCTGATTTCTTTATGGACCCTCTTTATGAGCCAAGCTGAGCCAGCCCAGCCGGTCTCCGTGAGATGTCTTTTGCTGGCTTCCTTTCAAATGCTTCTTGGGTTTGGCAAATGTGACCAAATACTTTTCCTTGTAAATTTCTTGAGTGCCGTGAAGAAAATGTATTCCACATGTTTGCAATTCATTTTTTCACCGAATTCATCAAAACGTTATTTCACAGCTATCTGGTGTCCAGGAAAGCTGATCAGACACCAGGTTGCAGACAGCTGTGTCCCGAGGTTGACACGGTGGTTTGAAGGGTCGGCTCTTCCCTGTTCCTTTCTGTCTGCAGGGCCCACCCCTGGGGGGTCTTTCAGGTCAGGGTCCACCCAGAAGCTGGGATGCTGTAAGGGCAGGCTAGGAAATGACCTGGAGGGTGTCTTTGAGAATGAGCCAGAATGACTAGCGATGCCTTGGATGAAAGCCTTCCTGGACCAGAGTAATTTCTGGAAGAGAGGCGACTTGGAGAGGATCTATTTGGCTATTTGCCATAATTAGTAAATCACTGTAAATTCACATTTTGGAAGAGTTTATCAAACACTCTGAAGTTCATGCTATTATCTGAACACTCTCTTCTTCAAAAAAACGGGGGGGGGGTGCGGAGTGCCATCAACTCTCAGCTGGCTTTGAACTCTCTTTCTCACCACTGTCTGTCCTCCTTAATAAATACAATGAGCTCCTCCTCACAGACATATTCCAAACATCTTCTTCTGGATGTCGTTCCAAACATTTTGCTCTGTAGGTCCATACTTCCTCTCAAATTAGAGGTCAGGCCCAGAACGTCTGCTCTTTTCCTCGATGAAATAAGACAAATATATATGTCACTCACCACTGAACAGCTGCTGAGACTACAAGGTGTCAATTTCGACACCCTCACAGATGCCAAAGGGAATCTGAGCTCAGGGAACACGTTGAGTCAAATCCCTTCCCACACGTGACCAGGGTTCCCTGTCCTGAAGTAAGCACAGAGCCAGTAGCAGCAAATGTGCATAGCGACAAACTGGATTCGTGACCTGAGAGAGCTCAGAGGGTACCAGGCATGCTGCCATCAACCAGGAATAGCTGTCAGTGCCCACTGCAGCCAGGCTCTGGGTGAGATACTCAAAGCCAAAGAGTTAAGGGTGGAGCTTTGGGGACTTCGTTGAGGTCCACTGCTAGATCCATTTGGTGTGGCTTTCTTGAGGAGAACGCTAGACAGCAGGGCTTTCCTTCAAAAGCATTGCCTCCTCCTTCCCCAGAAGAGAGAAATATGGTCATGAATGCAAAACAGTTGTCAGTTGAAGGAGAGTTTATGAGCCACAGTCTCAGGCAGAAGCCAGTCTAGCCTTAATCCAACATTTTTAAACAAAATACCCAAAGCTGCAGCAGTTTAATGTTAAATTCAGCAGGGAGATACTGTCCATGAAAGAAGGCCTCTCTTAAACCAATGCTCCCTTAAAACTCAAAGCCTAACTCTTTTATAGACAGAAAGATGAGCCGGCATGGAAATAGACTGGGCTAATTGCAAAAATGTTTCCAGGCAGACCAGCCTTGAGAGGCTCCCGCAAACCATCCGGTTGCTGGCTCCAGTTCTCATAAAAGATTGAACAGCTTTGCTCAGAAGAAAATTTAAGAGAGAGGCCATGGCTACCATGGCTACTGGTAGCCATCTAGCTGTGCTCGGAGATAAAGGTGTGCCCTCCTGATTAGCTGTGTGTGCATCTCGCTATGGGGGAAAGCTGGCATCTGTGGCTACCGCTCCAAACCCCGCAAACAGTTTTCAAAGCCAGTCGGTCTGGGCCAACAAAGAGAAAATCATTCTAGAAGATGGCCTTGCTCTGGTTAATCCCAGATTCTAATTTCAACCACCTAATTGTGCCCTGGAGAATTCCACATTCAAGATAAGGCAGCAGGGCTGTGATGCAGCGTGCGGCCTGCCAGCTAGCCAGCCTCCCTGGAGAGCCATCTGCAGTGGCCACACCACCAGAGTCCATGGAACCTTCTCTCTCTAGGAGAAATGATTTAATAGCTCCCAAATTTTAAACCCATGGAAATAATTTGAATTTCCAATTTGGTGGGAATCTCTTATTGAGCTGGCAGAACATGCCCGGGACCTCTCAAATTGGATTATGTATTGTTTTGCTATTCAGGAATTTTCTAGAAGTGCTCGCTGCAGTCTGGATCATCTATTTCTGCATTGGGCCCACAGTCCCAGCCCTGCAGAATAGAAAGTCTTGAACTAGATGCAACGGGAAAGGAAGGTCAGTTACCCTTCCTGCTGACCCAGGGTTGGATTTTGCACTTTTGATGGAAAAACATCTTTTCTAGCATTTTTGTCATAAGCGCTTAATCTGTTTTTCCTGCCAAGTGTTCAAGAAGTGGATGAGGCTGGGGAAGGTCTGCAATTGTCTGTGACACCCTCTTAATCCACCCCCCCAACCCCCAGCCACACACATCACAGCCATTCTGGCATGATCTACCCTGGGACTTGACATCCATGCCCATGTCAAGCCAGATGGATGAGAGGAGATGCTTCCAGCATCTTTGGGACAGCCTTTGACTTCTCAGGCTGTGGATGATTCTTCTTTAGGGAAGAAAAACCACCCACCTCACCTCACTGTAAACTGCCTTGCTAGTAAGAAGGGCTGGCATTTTGCAGGCATCTCCCTTCTCCTCTTGATTTTTTTAAAACTAGTTCTTACCCTGAGGTGATGCTAACTCTAATTATCCTCCCAAAACAGGGGACCCCGCCAAATAATTTACAGGGTGTATATTTCCAATCTGTAGTTTGCTCTTCACTGGGCACTTATTCTGTGTGTTTATTACTAATCACGGCTTGCCTGGAACTAGAACCTTGGGACCATTTTCCTTGCCAGTTTCTTGAGGTTGTCCAGCTAATAAGCGCTGCAGGCTGGTTGCAGAGTCCATGAGCCTCTTTATCCTAAAATCAAATTCTCCAGAAGTAGCAACACCCATCATTTGGGAAGTTGCCCCAGATCTAACACCGTGGCAGAGTTTTCTGTAACTCCCTTCTGTATTTATAATTTCAGGGTTAATATAAGAGCCGAATAGAGTGTTGGCACTTCTGGGTTATGTTGCTGTCGGTGTTTGCTTTTTAAATAAAGTTTATACAATCCTTTTAGCAAAGCAATTATACAGCTGTTTTCTAAGAAAACAGAAAACTTGGCTCGACAGCCTCCCAAACAACCTATTTCCTTTAAAAATCTTAGCTGGACTAAAAGCACATGTACAGGCCTTTATTGATGGAGAAATCTCTTTCTTAAATTCAACCCTAATGTAGCTGTGAGTATTTTGTTGGAAGCTGTGGATGCGGCATGGTAAACTCTTGAGTTTGCACCGAAACAGATAGTTGCTTGGCCTTCAGCAACTTATCTGTCTCCTGCTGAGCAGGGGGAGGTATGGTCTGGGTAGAAACCCCTCCTTCCAGGCCCTCACTTGTCACCCTCTCTTTCCTTTCTATTCCAGCCTAGAGCTGAGTGTCTTTCACTGATTTCCCAGCCTTCTCTTGGCTCCCAACGGCAACAATGCTTACTTCCCAGGGAGCTAAGTAGCTCACTGGCCAGGGATCAGCTCCCAGTGCCCCGTTGATCTAGGCGCATTTAGGACACCATCCGGGTTGTCGTGAGTTAGCCAGCAAGGAAACACTACAGTTTCAACTTCACCAAGCCCTGGGGCCTCAGTGTGCAAGGAAAATGGAGAAACGTTCCCGAGTTGCTGCGGGTCACCCGCAGGGGAACCGGCAGGCTGGCTAACCGGTCCCTGAAGATAGGGGTTCTGGAAGATACCGTTTAATTGTGTTTGGGGGAGCCCAGTCAAACAGCCAAACTTTGTGACCACCAGCTCTTCAGGGCTCTGCAGAAATGAGCATTGTCGGGTGGTCCTTCTGGAAAGCTCTGTTGTCACAAAGGGAACACGGCAATACACAAAGACAGTGTTGATTTGTCTTTGAAAGAACGTCACCTCCTCGAGTCATCAGCACTACTGCCTTTATAGCTGGTAGCTCGCCGGTACTCTCCCAAGGGTGCCCTTCACTGGCCAGCCCCCAGAAGGCTGATACTCCAGTCCCAGGGTTGCCCTTGATTGGCCCCGCCTCCCAGAAGGCTGAGTGTCCCATCCCAAGGCTGTCTGGAGCCCAAGCTAATCCCCCCATATAGTGACTCAGCCCTTTTCTGCCTGGGGTGAGAGTGACAACTTGCTTGCCTTTCCCTTTCAGATTTCAAATCCAACTTCAGAGCTGCTCCGATCAGATCCGTGGATGTCTACAATGTCATGTGCAACGTGGCCGGCGTCTCGCCCCTGCCCAACAACGGCTCCTGGTCCAGAGTGCAGTGCATGCTGAAGGGCCAGGCCAGCTCGGCCCCAGCCGGCGCCCCCCACAGCTGTCTGCTGGCCTTGCTTCTCCTGTGGTTCTTGGTGTAGCCCCTCCTGTTGACCCCACTCAGCCAAGTGTGTCCCCCAGAGTGGGGTGGCTGCATTGTCCATTTGAAATTTGAATAGCTTCATTAACACAATCAAGGTCATAAAATTGTAAATATATTATTCTTTTATGATTCTATACATGAAGTCCTACTTCTTTGAGAAGAGAAAAACCCAAGTCTTTTTTCCTGGAGGTAAGGAAGAGGCTGGCACTAGTTTTCTCTAGGGGGCCCTTGTCTTCTCTGTCCACACCCAGCAGCCACCTCTGGGTCTGAGGCCACCGTCCTGGCTGCTCTCCCTGTCCCCAGACACGGAGGGGCAGCAACAGCTGCTGTCGCTCAGCGGTGCTCCGGCTGGCCGAGTCTCTTCATCCTTCCAGAGTCCAGTGAGGATGGGCCTTAGCTTAGATCACCAACCAGTCAAAATCACAAAGGGCTGGAGACCTCACAGAACAAGGGGAAGACACGGGTTTCTCCCGAAGTCTGCCGTGTGCAGCAAACTTCCTTCCTTGCCTTAAGGGGCAGAAAAGCTGACGTAGCTGGAGATTCTGTAAGATTTAGCACAGCTTGGGAAGCCTTGCTCAGAGCAGGCCCCGCACGTTGGGGCTGGATTGACATATGGCCAGCTTACCCAAGACTGTCCCCTCTGGGTCCCCACGTGGAATGTAGACAGGAGCGACAGACAAGCCATCACAGGCTGGGGAAGGGAGGCCTTGCCGTGAGAATCTGGACATAGCCACAGACACCTCAGCCCCGTGTTGGGAATGGGGATGCACAAAGCCTTCGTCCTGTGTCCCCAGAGTCCTGAAGCCAGGCTTGTTTAAAGTGACAGCAAAGGGAGTCCCCGAGTGACCCAGAACTCCAAAGAAAATGGCAAAAGGAGGATGGGAATGGAGAAAAGGGGATGATTCCCTGTCACCACTCAGCTGGCCATGTGGCTCGCAAACAGGCTGCTCATGGAGCACCCGCTGGGGCCCACATCTTTGAAACCCTTGAGAAGAGTCATGAGCCCTTGAAATGTTTTCGGTTCATCTGCTATGTTCGCTGTACGAGATCTTGTGGTAAAACAAGGGATAGCTGCATTTTTAAGCCACCAGAGCCCCATATCTAGCCACAGGCTACGAGACAAGGGCATGTGCGCCTGGGATTGTGCTGCCACAGCGAATGAGGAACATCCATAAGTGAGACTGTCCATCAGGACAGACAACACCCAGGCCCAGCCTGCTGAGACCTCGGATGGTGTCCCCTTGAGAAGCGAGTCATCGCCTGGTTCAAGGAGGCTGGGGGTCCCCTGTGCCTGGCTTCATGAGAACAAAGGATAACTGCTTAAAAGTACTGAATTTATCTTCACGAAAAACTTCTAAAGATTTATGTAATATGTGTTCAAAGTGCCAGCAAACCATGGAATGAACTGGAAAGGAGGCAAAGCAGCCCGTGTTGCCTGGCTGAACAAGAGAGAGCGTTCGCTCCCCGGCTCTGCTGCTGAAGCAGGCGCCTCTTACTCAGAGTGTCCCTTCTCCCCGGTGGACAGTGTGCTGGTGAATTGTCGAGCCCACCTGCCTCCCTCAGAGCTACCCAAGTGATTAAGTTAAAAGTGGAGCACCAGGACCCAGGGGGGTGTCTGCACCCAGGTCTCATTTGTCTTTCCTGCTCTGTTCTACCCTTGTCCCTCCTTCATCCTGAAAATCAAGTTACATAATAAAATTTCAGTATTTGCCTGACAATGTGTAAGTTACTCAATCAATAATCCTAAATAGATAAGATTCTTTTGGAATCATGAAATTTGCTAAATAATAAAGCAAATTCAGGGACTGAATAAAAAAAAAAAACCAACCCTGGGCATAAAACAATGCATGCAGTTTAGCAACTATTTAATTTTTCCTTTGATTTTTGTTTAAAATCACATTATTTTCTCCAGGAATAGTCTTTCTTTAAATGTGATTTGTCTCATAGCAGAAAAATCTGTTAGGACACCTTTCCTCCTGGATTTTTTTGACTACTTCACTCTGATTCCAGGAAAAAGATCCATGGGTTGACCTGCAAATACTGACGATGAATGAAAGGAACACTCTTGAAGATGAGCTGAATGGCTGCTTTCTCAGTTCATAAGCCTAATCTCCAGAATCCAGTTCAATTAAATTCAGAAAACTTAAGTACTAGGAGAGGCCCCAGGAATTCTTTCTAGCCTACAAGCTCCTGAATGCTAAAGTCCCAATTCCTTATTTTTAAAGGGCCCTTGGAACCCCATGTGAGATCTGCATTCTGTTCTAGAATAACTTAAGTTTGCAAACTTTCCAAGACCATTGATTGTCATCTGCCCACTTCCAGAGATGTAGGTTCTCAGGGAATCGAGGTGCAGTATCAGAGTACACTTTGGGGTCATCCTGTCCTGGGGGTTGGGTTCGCTCTCAGAGAAATGAGTTCTGATTTGACCCTGGTTAACCTGAGTCCCCTGACAGCTACGTCACAATTAGCCAGTTTCTCCAGCAGCCCTTTGCTGGCACTGCCTATGTGTCCCACCTGGGACAAGCTCCCAGCTACCCTTATACCAAAGCATATGTGCGAGACCCAGGGGTGGAAGAGGATCTGAGAGAGGCAACCTTGGCCTCTCCACATCCACCCCCTGTGGGTCTAAGATGCCCAGTGCTGCTATCGGATTTTATGAATTTTCTAAGAAAGTGTTTTTGCATTTCTGTAAATATCAAGCGAGTTCCAAATATGATTGTATGTTCGATCTTTTTAAGCAATTTGTGATAGACCAATGCCAGCTCTTATAAACTGCTTGTTGGAAGGAAGGGAGGTGGTATCCTTCGCAGACAGGCAACACATTTGAAGCTTGGTCTCAGCTATGTGCTGCAGAGCATAGGCGTTTGCGTAGCATGGAAATCATGAGCGTAGCATGGAAATCACTGCACCCAGTGCAGTGCCTCAAATGTTTCATGAATGCCCCTATCTACTTGTTGAATGAAAAAGAATATCATTAAGGAGGCTTGTTTACACCTCTGTATTCCCTCTCTCTGTCTGTAACTCCTCAAGTGAAATGAACTTTTCCCACTGAGCTTACGATCTTCTCACATCACCCAACTGACAATATAGTCATCGCTGATTTCATGAACTAAACATATTCCATCCCAAGCTGATAAACTTAAGGAAGGAGGCTTGGGGGTGCAGGGGCGGGGATGCAGGGAAGGAGACTGGATTTAAAATATAAAGTAAGCATATTTACTTTAAACAAATATAACAACATTATGAAGATTTCAGCCTCACACACACCACACCATCCGTTTAAACGCAGTGAACAGTTCATGGCTTTACACAGTCACAGGGCTGTGTAACCATCACCATAATCAATTTTAGAACATTTTCATCACCCCAGAAAGGACACCATCCCCATTAGTACACGAGCAGCTTCTCCCTACATCTTCCCAGCACCACCTCCAGGCAGTCACCAAACTACACTCTCTGTCTACACGTCTGCCTCTTTGGGATATAGAATCAGACTGTGGTCTTTGTGCACCACCTTCTTCCCCTCAGCAGAGTATTTTCAAGGTGACAGCTTGAGTCAGTACTTCATCCTTTTTATTTTCCAATAATGGTCCATGTAATATAATAATTTGAGTTCTGAGCTGTCATGGGAACAACTTGCCTTGTGTGGAATGGGTCCCTCCAGAGAAGGTTCAGACTGGAAGAGACAGAATAACAGCACATGCGACAACCTTTGTCATGGGTTCAGTTGTGCCCCCCAAAAGAGGTGCCCAATACACCCACACTATGGGATACTATTCGGCCATAAGGCAAGATGGAATGCAGCTACCAGAGCAAAATAGGAGTTGAGGGAGCAAGGTGTGGTAAAGCAAGTCGGAATGACAAAGCCCAAAACTGGACATGCAGATGATTCAACAAAGTAAAATAAAAAAACTAACAGATATTGATAAACAAAGTGAGGCTTCCTAGGTTAGGAGGGAGGGGAGAGGATAAAATGGTCAAGGGAGATATGGAGTAGTGGTGGGGGTATAAAAAAAAGAGAGGTATTGAGCCCTAACCTCTGGTAACCATGAAAGTGACCTTATTTTGAAATAGAACTTTGGCACATGTCATCAAGATGAGGTCACGCTGGTCAGGGTGAACTCCACCCCAGCGACGGGTGTCTTAGAAGAGGGAAATATAGTCCAGGAGACCCAGGGACAGAGACCACATGATGAAGGAGGCAGAGGCTGGGGTGAGCATCTATAACGCAAAGAACCCGCAGGACTATCAGCAGCCTCCAGTCACTGGAAGGAGCCAGGAGGGTCCCACCAAGAGCCTCATGGAGACATGGCACTGCTGACCCTGGATTTCAGACCTTTGGCTTCCAGAACTAGGAGAGAGAACAGCTCAGCTGTTTCAAGTGCCCCAGATGGTGGCACTTTGTTACAGCAGCCACAAACTACTAATACACCTTTGACATAGCTTTTGGAGCCACTCCACAGACAAGAAGATGAGCATCACTGTGCCCAGGGAGCTCACAACTCAGTCATTTTATTTCTCCCTTGTCGAGCAGAGTTGAATTCTCATTTCCATGGAACAAGACGTTTTGGTCGCTATGGCAATGCATGGAGGGAATTTCATAGCAAACAGGAGGACGCAGGAAGAGGTCACTGGCTGTGGAGCAGAGAGGCTGGTGCCCGGAGGCTGACCTGCCGGACACCTGACAGCACCCTCCCCACTGGCTCCTTGGGACTCCTGCTCTTAAACACCTGGGGTTGGCCAACCCCAACCCCACTGCCAACCCCACCGCAGTCTGCTCCACCTTGTCTGCAGTGATCTCAGCAGAAGCTGGAGGAGGCTGGTACAAATCCACCCCCATCTCTCCTGCCTACATACAGAATTAATCCCAAATTCTCCCTCCATCCCTGCCTAAGGTCTGACTTGCTCTCTGTGCTCCCCACCAAGCTCGCAGCAATCTTGCGTTGGCTCTGTGTCTGCAACCCCCTTCCCACTCTGTCTAGCAAACTTCTATTTCTCCATCATGGCCTAGATTCTCTGTGAAGCTTTGTGCTTCATATTCTTGCATTGTTTCCTTGATTACCAAGCAAGTCACAAGGCGTTGTCACAATTTGTTTGCAAGTGTTCCACAAGCAGCGAGCAGGCTGTGAACCAAGCCGAGTGCCAGGGCTGAGTCTTCTCGTTTTCCAAGACTCTAAACCAAGTCTGGCGCCCCAACAAAATCCACCTCCAGAGAACGATCCTCGTCTGCTGACTCCAGAGACGACTGGAGGAAGAGGAGCGCTCGGACCCTGGCCAGAAGCTTGCCTGCGCGGGAGCCCTCCGTCCCAGCGAGGGCCCGGGAAGCGGGCTGCAGGCAGGGTTTGGTCCAGAGACGCAGGACTTGAGAATGAGCAGCGGTGTCCGCCCTCTGGACGGCAGGGGTTTCTATCCCCCTCCCTGGCCAGGAACAGGGGGACGTGGAGCAGACGAGAGGGCAGAGAAGATAAATGAGCTCTGCTGTCACCATGTTGAATCAGCCTTTTCAACGAGACCGGCAGCAGCTGTGCAGCCGCGGCTCCGCAGCCCGGGACACAAGGGGAGGCCTCAGGGTCTTGACACCCAACACGAGCACGCGGAAGAGCCCTCGCTGGCACCTTCTGAGTCCCTTTGCCGTTGACACTGAAGGGTGAAGACACGCGAGGGGGGAGTGTGTGGTGGGGGCCAGGCTTTCAGGGAGAGGACAGGGTGTTTAGGAAAACCCCTCCTGCAGTGACCTCGTCACCTCTCTCTCTCCCTGTCCTCCTGCCCAGGAAAGTCTGACCCTGAGGTGGTGTCAGCAGGACAAGCGGGAGCAGAGCCTCCTCCGCAGCTGTAGTGCCAGGATGGGCACAGAGCAGGTTTCTAGGCTCCGAGCAGACAGGCGGGTAAAGGAGAGTCCGGGAGCCCTCGGTGGCTTTCTCAGGCTTTTATTGAGCTTTACATGCACTGCAGCAACCAGGTACACGGCAGGCAGAGGCGCCGGGGGGCCAGGAGGCCAGCAGGCCTCCAAGCCCCGGGCAAGTCTTCACCGGGTTTCTCTGGCCTTCTTTGGCCCCTTCTCTCTCCTGACTCTTTCCTTCTTCTGCTTCTCTTGGTGACTATCTCAATACCCCTGCCCTGGCCCCCAGAAGTAAACAACACCACAATGTAACGACTGCAGGTGCCCCATCAGGCAGGGCAATCCTAATGGCGGGAGGCCAGAAAAGCCTGAAAACCGTTTACCAAACCATCTGCCCTACAGTAGCCCAGAAAGCAGTGGGGTGGGGCGTGGGCAGGAGACAGGAAGCCCCCGGCAGCTCTTAGAGTAAAGGGCCAAAAAGAATTCTGGAGGCTCATCCCGTAGAGCCACTATAGCAGCGCCGTTGGCGGGGCTGAGTCCGGAGGAGCTCACACTTCCCCAGGGGGCGCGGGCACCTGCCTAGAGTGCGGACGGCTTCTGGGAAATTTGAGCATTTGGGGATCCAGGCTGCTCTCTGCATCTGAAACCCTAAAACTAGCTTCTACCTGATGCTTGGTGTTACGAGGTGTGTTTTATACCGTGTCTCGGGTAAGACAGGAGTCCAGGAGCCCAAAGATTCAATGATGGGCCCAGGTCACCGCTCGGAAAGGGACACCTGGGTCCACATCTCAGGGCCGGAATAGAAGCACCAGACTGACTCCACTCTCTCAGCCCCTCCACCCTCCATCCCGCACCCCAGGCTTCCTCCCCGCAGATGCAGGTGTGC